TGAAAAAGTACACTAATAACAATCTATGTGTTAAAAGTTGTTTTTATTTTTTGGCGTATCCAAAGATTTGTTCTTAGGCTGTATCTATCTGATCATAATTGTTTGTTACTTGCTTATTAAAGAAATAAAGATTGTTTTATTGATTCGTATTTTTAGAATGTTAAACAATGTAAATAACATACGTACACATAAATGAATTATTGGTAAATGCAACTTGTCGAGATGAAGACGACAACCATCAGTTACCAGTGGCCGAATATGCAGGGGTCCTATTATGAAAAGATAACATGAAATTACGAATATTGACGATATCGACAAGTGTACATTAACGTTGGATCTATTTAATATAAAATAGGGTATGTTATTTTGAAGTAAAGGGTATTTATTTTAATTTTGAATATTTACTTATATATCTTTTTATACTTACTTATATATCTTTGTGGAGACAAACCGTGTCTCTAGAGTTAAATAATAACGTCTGTCTATATATCTATTTTCGTAAATATGTATATACACTAAACTTCGTATTAATGTTAGACGATAGACTTAAAAATAGATAAGTAAATATTTATTTTTAAAACTCTATCTCCTTATTTACAAAATGTCTGGTTATGCATTATGTCTGACAACTCAAAGAAATCTCAAATTTTATTTATATTTTTCATTCCGTGAAGTAGTACGTAGAAGAACCGCAAGTACTATCTAATTTATGAGTATATCTCTTATCTCTATTTTTATCATTTATTTTTTCTTGTCATGATATCGTATAGGTAGGCATTGAGAAGTAATCATTTATAGTGTGAATAGTAGAAGTAAAGGTTACTATGTATCTCATATCGTCATAGTCGTAGAATACTGATGGATCTATATATGTAATATTTGTCAGATCCGTTAGTATGTAGAATACTATGACTATGACAGAGACTATGACGATATGAGAGCTGTGTGTATGTAAGAATGTAAGCTGTAAATAAAAGTTCTAAATCGTTTCAGATTGGCGGCAGTAGTAGCTAGAGATTTATCATCATCCTTCTACCCATATCCCAATTATTATTGTGGGTCAGCGTAATTTTTTTTATCTATACTACAAAAAGATTTGGTTTATAGTTTTACGACCGGACGCCTGTCTGACGTTAACCCTCTTTGGAGAGAGATTATGAAATGAATTTGGCAATTGTTATTGAAGAGAAGTGCGCTGAGTTGAAATCATTAATTAAAAGTTTATAATGATAGTTAATAAAACGTTGATTATACATTATATTATTGTTTTTATATTTTAGGTTTTCCTTTTGAAAATTAACCCACCTGCTACTGTAGTGTCATTCTAATTTAACGCCTTTTGACGGACACTTTTTCATATACAAAGAAAGGTTTTCTTTACATCTACACTCCATAACTTATATATTAAGGATAGTACCTGCAGTAATCACTATATTTTTACCTGTCAATTTTCTATGTGACTCTGACTGACATTGCAAAATTCCAAAAAAAAGTTATTTGTGTTGAAAAAAAAAAGGAAAATATATCCATTTCCTTTATTTAGATATTCTAATTTACCAATATGAAAAAAAAAAGAAGTAATTTTACATATTAGCAAGGTTACCAGCATTAAGATGTTAGCATTAAAATTGTTTTATTATGTCAAGATAAAATGTGTGTGTTGTCTTTTAGGTATCATATTATTATACAAAAAAAGTTGAGGAAGCTTATGAGAAGGGTCAGTGGCAAACGGTTCTGTATTTATATAGGCAAGTTTCCTTTAAGCTTTTTTATAGTAAGATGACCTTTATTTCTTTTATTGTTAGGAAGGCAAACGAGCAGATGGTCTTCCTGATGGAAAACGGCTACCATCGCCCACGAATACATGCAAAATGAAGGATTTGCTTGTGCGGTGCCGGCCTTTAAAATGTGTAGGCACGTTTTTGGAAATACCCCATATTATATTGTAAAGGGAAAATTGAACACGGGAGCTTATTCTATAACTTAGATGTAAGAGGTAGAAATAAAAGGGATGCGATGACGAACAGTAGTAGTACGCCACGCACACAAGAAATGAAGGCAAACTCCAACTCTGTGGCGAGAGGTTTTACTGATAAAAGATAAAAATTCTTTGCAAAACTAAATGCATAAAAAAGCGATACAGCAGTTTCTCTATTACACGACAATGTTTATTTAAAAAGGTACCTATAACAATAAATCTTTATTGTTCCTTACGGTATTGTTTTATACAAACATGTTTTTATATTAGCTTTTATTGAATGCAAAAATACACTATTAAGAACACAAGTATAAAAATATCTTTAATAATAAAGTAGAATGGATTATATCGTGCGTACATGTAGGTATTTCAGTGCCTCGTGCTCGGATTACGGGTACGGAAACATTCGATAAAGCTGAATCACAAAACGTAATCTTTTGTTCAAATTATACTTGTTGACAACTCATATGATATACCTATTTTTTTTTATAGAATTAATAAAATCATTAGCATCAAAATTTCGATCAGCATCTGATGGGCCGATACTTAAGATATGCATCTTCTATGCGTCTTCTTATGTCGTCTTCTTATGTATGTGTTTCTCGGATCTGCAGTCTCGTTATCTCTTTATGTCATCAGACCATCGTAGCTTTGGTGTCTGGTTTTGCTGTTTAAATGAAATAATTTTGCTTTAACTTCTTTAACTTTAAAAGTCTTTATTTTATAAAACAGAAACTATACACTTAAAGTAAGGTATATTCCTGAAGGACTTTTGTAAGTATTTTTTTCAATAATATAATTATCATTCCTATATTAACAACTTTATAAAAATGCTAAATGAGTATTATATTATTTTTTATTACATGATTAATCTTAAATAGTCCACATTTTATTTACAAAATTAGGTCTTAAGTATAAATATTATTTTTTTAAGATTTTGATTTCATTGTAGCTGATAAACTTCGACCTTAAACATTTGCCCTAATTCAAGCAACCTTGACTCACTGAACTCGTAGATACGAATCGGTTAAACATAGGTAGGTATAGTTTCCTCGCAATGATGCCTAGATATTCGTGTCAGCTTTGAATAATACATGGATTAGTTGGTATTTGAACAATAGCAGATATATATGCATAGATATTGTTTGTTTATATGAAGTGTATTTAAGCATTTAATATATTACTTACTTGTGATAGTTCATTTATTTTATACTTATTTCAAACGTATTTATTGTTATTCGCTATTTTGTCCCCATAATTGAGATGGGCCAGGTCTAAATTTTTTTTATACAACTTAGAATGGCAAACAAGCTGACGGCCCACCTGATGGAAAGTGGTAACGGTCACCTATAGACATGAGCAGTACCATGGACATAACGGAGTATACTGTTTCGCCCATGATACCCCCCATGCGTTGCCATTCCTGAGGACTCAGGTATTATTCCTCTGTACCCTGTAAATTCACGTCATATCCCACCCTTCAAACCGAAACACAGCCATGCAAACATAACTGCTTCACGGTTGAAACACGAATGGGACAGAGGTACCCAAGCAATCGACTTTTGTACAAAGTCTCCCTCTGGTGGACCCTCTATATATATATATATTATTAGGTTATTAGGTTTTTATTAGGATTAGAATTCTGTTGGATCGCGTCCCTGTCAGTGGGTAACATTGTTTAATTTATTATTTAGATACCTTAATGGGTCATATACATTTTAAAATAGGGGCTTGTGGTGACATTTAGTCTAAGTTTTAAAATATATACCACACATTGCAGCAATTAAATAATTCATACACATGCAAGTTAAGCATTCAGTTGAACTGTTTATCCTGATGGATAAACAGTGATCATGTAGTAATCGTCATTATCATGGATTAGATTCTTAGTTTAGGGTAATTTAGGAAATAAATTTTGTTCATTTGTAGATTATTTTCCCAGATGTACGTTGTTTAGTTTTCCACACACAGGATAATCTAGTTTCGGGACCAAGCAATTAGTTTTATTAAATGGAATTTATAATACAAAATTATCATGTTGATGATGTGATGATGATAGCGTCAGGGGTGTTCTTCTCTAGAAATCTGTCCGACTCTAGAATAAGGGCATACGGGTATGCGATCCCAGCCTCCCGAGCCGCTGCAGTGTCCCAGTTCATTCCGCACCTGCAGTGTCCTTTCCCACAGAAGTCCCTTATTCCCCTCATTCACCAATTTGCCTTACGCTTTTCCAACGTTTCCTTTCTTTTTTCCTCAATCCTTTCCTCCATACCGTAGGTGGTAGAAACCACCAACAAATGCATTCCCAAAGAGGGTTGACGTCAGGCAGGTGGCCGGTCATAAAACTAAAAACCAAATCTTTTTGTAATATGGATAAAATCATATTACGCCGAGCCCAAATAATTGGGATAAAGGTAGGAAGATGATGATTGTTTGGTAAAATAATGAAGAAAAAAACTTCTTTTTTAACCGTTGTTGGATAAAAAGAAGGGTAAAGGACAAACCTGGTTCACGTAGTCCCCGCGTGTAGGTCTTTGTACGCGTTCTCGTTCTCTCTTCTAAATATCTAACACTTATGTTGATTTCGCTGAAATACCACTGTAAGTTGCGCGGAGATCGCGGCTGATTGACTAATTCGCAACTGGTGGAGCCTTTTTTTGTGATCTTGGCGGAACTCGATCAGCTCGACACGCAGTTGGATTATAGACTTAATTTATCCGTCTACCCCCCGATGTGATCCCAGATTTGATAGGAAATATGGATAGGTAAGGAGGGTAGAAGCATGTTGCGTTCGGAAATGTTTAAAGCATATACATATGATGAGATTATATTTACCATATCGCCCCCAAAGAGCTACCAGGCTCTTTAGCAAATTAGATAATAAATAAGAATAAGAGAGTCAAGGATTTCTAAAAACATTGGCTTAAGTAAAAAAATAATAATAATAATAATAAGTTTGATTACTACTAAAATACACTACTACTAGAAGCTATGATTCTATGGTATAAGAACATTGATTTAATTAGGCTTGGCATAATAACGGGCAAATTTTAGTTACTGGACGAAGTAGACTACCAGCTGAAGTTTTTAATTCAACCACCCTAACAGTGCCGTCAGAACCTGGATAAACCCTTGTTACGCGGGCTGTCTTCCATCGAAGCGGTGGCAAAGCGGATTCCTTTAGCAAGACCAAATCACCTACTTGGACATTAGGTAGCCTAGCAAGCCATTTGGGTCGTTGTTGCAATGTGTGAAGGTATTCGGTTTGCCAACGTTTCCAAAAATGCTGAGTTATTTGACGAACTAATTGCCATCGTTTTAAAAGATTAGATTCTGTCATTTCCTCCTCAGGCAATGCCTGAAGGGGTTTACCGATGAGGAAATGGCCCGGTGTTAGAACATCCAAATCGTTTGAATCATTAGTTATAGGGACTAAAGGACGCGAATTTAATGCAGCTTCAACCTTGGCAAAAATGGTAGCTAATTCTTCGAAAACCAGTGAGCGATCGCCGATAACTCGAGTTAAAATAATCTTGGCAGAGCGCACGGCGCTTTCCCACAAACCGCCCATATGTGGACTGGCGGGAGGATTCAAATGCCAAACTACTTGTTGACGTGCTAAATGTTTGTGAATTTCTTCATGTGAATTTTTAATGTGCTGAGTTACGTTCTTTAAATAATTTCGAGTACCGATAAAATTAGTACCGCAGTCACTAAAAACGTCGCTGGGAAGACCTCTACGAGAAACAAATCGATCAAAGCAGGCTAAAAATGCTTCAGTGGACAACTCTGAAACAATTTCTAGATGGACGCACTTAGTCGTAAAGCATACAAAAATACAAAGATATGATTTAACAGATTTGGCGTTTCGAATTCGAGATGTCTTTAAGGAAAAAGGACCTGCGAAATCGACTCCTACTTTTTCAAAAGGTCGACACGACGTCACTCGATGAGATGGCAAATCTCCCATGAATGGTTCAATGGACTTAGGTCGAGATCTATAACATCTGTGGCAACGAAATATTTGTTGGCGGATTATTCGACGCGCTGATAAAATCCAATAATTTTGTTGCAATAAATTCATGAGGGAATTTAAGCCTGAATGCAAAAAAATACGATGATAATGATCGATTATTAACCGTGTTACATGGTGAGTTTTTGGAAGTAGAAGCGGATACTTTGCGTTGTAGGGTAAATTTGAGTTGATAAGTCTTCCACCAACTCTAATAAGGCCGTCCTGATCAAGAAATAGGTTGAGCCTTAAAAGACAACCCTTGAGAGGTTTGTCCTCACGTAACCTTCTAGAAGTTTCCAAAAACTCCGAAGACTGAACTAGCCGGACAATAGTGTGCGTGCTTGCACTCAACTCGCATACGCTAAGAGGTCCAGTTCTTCGTTGAGAATAGTTACGCAGGTTGTAAATAAAGCGCTTACACCAAGCTACCACAGACTGTAACTTGGGAAACGAGCTGAATTTTGTAAGAGCAGGAAATTCATCAACCGTCTGAGTCACATAGACTTCAAACGGTGAAGACTTCATGCCAGGTAATTCCGCTTCACTTAGGTCAGGAATGTTATCTGGCCATGTTGAGTCGTCCAGCTCAAGCCATTTTGGACACCACCATAAAGGATGATCAACTAATTCAGCAGGACTGAGACCTCGACTGGCTGGATCAGCTGGATTCATCATGGACGGTACATGCTTCCATGTAACATCGGGAAACAGATTTTGAATCTGGGATACACGATTACCCTCATACGTTTGAAGTTTATGAGGAGAAGTTTTAAGCCATGAAAGAACTATACTTGAATCGCACCAAGCAACAACACTACTAATTTTGACTTTGACATTTAAGATGTCAAATACGTGTTTTGTAAGACGTATAAGTAAAAGTGCACCGTTTAATTCCAATTTTGGAATGGTAAGTTTTTGTTTAAGAGGTGCTACACGCGATTTTGCGAGTAATAGTTGAGTCGAAATACCATGAGCATTCTGGACGCGCAGATAGACACACGCAGCGTATCCGCGTTCAGACGCATCACTAAAACCGTGTAGCTGACAAACCAATGGTTGATTAGTGATTACCCAACGTGGTATCGATACTTTATCGAGTTGATGAAAATTTGAAATTAGCTCTGACCAACTTTCCTGTATGGCAGGAGGAAGAGGATCATCCCATCCACACTGACTTGCCCACAATTGTTGCATGATGTGCTTTGCATAGAAAGTGACAGGCGCAAGGAATCCACATGGATCGTAAAGTCTGGCAATATTAGAAAGTACACCACGCATTGTCATGACGTCGCTAATATTTGAAACACGATAAATGAAACTGTCAGTTTTTGCGTTCCACTCGATGCCCAAAATCTTGTAAACATTATCACCATGCTCTTCGAAACGGTAAGGTGGCTCGCAGTGATCTGAAGCAAACAACTCCAAAAACTCCTTTGAATTGCTAGACCATTTACGTAAAGCAAAGCCGCCTTGAGATAGAATGTTAACAAGTTCTTGTTGCAGGTGCTGAGCAGAGTCAAAACTATGAGAACCACTGACAACGTCGTCTACGAATGTGTCCTCTAGCAACACTCTACAAGCCTCAGGATGCTGGCTGGAATTTATGTGAGCCAGCTCATGAATGACACGAATATGCAGAGCTGGTGACGCCATATGTTACTGTGATCAATTCATATTGCTTCAGCGGCTCATCAGGTGATGCACGCCAGAAGATAGTTTGATATTTACAATCTTCATTATGCATACGTACCTGGCGGTACATTTGTTTTATGTCACATGTGAAGACAACTTTATGGATTCTAAAACGCAAAATTATATCTTCAATACTTTTTTGAAGTTTGGGGCCAGACATAAGTATCTGATTGAGGGAAACACCAGTGGAGCTAGAGGCCGAAGCATCGTATACAGCACGAAGTTTTGTGGTGCTACTATGTTCTCGTAGTATGCCATGATGCGGAATGTAATATCGCTCCCTTGAAACAGGAGTTGATACTTCACGCATATGGCCAGCTTCAATGTAATCTTTCATAAAGGCTACATATAATTCATGCAATTTGTCATCCTTTAACATGCGGCGCTCTAAATTATGAAATCGCTTTAAAGCGGTAGTGTGTGTTTCTCCCAAAGGCTTGTGATCTACTTTGAATGGTAACCGTACAATGAAACGACCTGTGTCATCTCTCGTGTGGGTGTCAGTAAAATGTTTTTCACAAAGAATATCTTCAGGATCCCGTATAGGCTGGCTGGGAGGTTCCTCTGACTCCCAGAACCTAGAAAGATTGAAGAAAGGATCACCTGTGCAGGCCATCGAAATTACACTATAAGAGTGCTGTGATGCTGCTGGTGCTCTGCCCATAATAACCCAACCGAATAAGGATGAATGTGCAGTGGGCATGTCATCACCCAGGCTACACCGCTTGCCATCCAGAATTTGATTATATGTGTCAATACCCAAAAGAAGATCTATTTGTCCTGGAACTGAAAAGTTTTTGTCCGCTAAAACTAAATTTCTACATTTATCCATGATGCAAGAGTTGACTTCAACAGAAGGAAGATTACCTGTTATACGTTTCATTATTAAACAGTCAGTAGAAATGAATTTGGAGGAATCATGTACCGATTTTATATGGCAATGTATTGTACCTCTAGTTTGCTTGGCTGATGAAGCACCTAATCCAAGTACACATCTCGACGGTGTACGTGGTAGCCTTAACTGCTGAGCAAGACTTTCAGATATAATAGAAACTTGGGAACCATTGTCTATCAATGCACGGGCTGAATGATATTGCCCATTGACATCCCGTACACAAACAGAAACGGTACCCAATATCATAGTAAACTGTCGCTCATCATTACTTGATTGAAGTTGCATGATGGAGCCTAATGTGGACACAGCAACTTCTTCCGTTGGATTAGGCCTTACTGTATTAGACATGATGTGTAGCTTTGTATGATGACGGCCATGACATACTCCACATACACTACGTGAGATGCATTTAGCAATGTGATGAGTCCGTAAACAATTAAAACACAATTTATTCTGATAAACAAAGGATTTTCTTTGTTCTGGAGTCATTGCATCAAATTTGGAACAATGGTATATACTATGATTTTCCTGACAGCAGGGACACACAACCATATAAGGTTTATTTTTGTTAAGCTGTTTGGATTCAACAACTGTCAATGAACTGCTGGTAGAAGCCTTATGTGTACATGTATTTAAATTTTCTAAAATATATAGTTGATTTTCTAAGAATGTAATTAAATTGTTAAATGATGGTATACTCCTAGCATCTACTTGAGATTCAAATTTACTTCTTAATTCAAGGGACAATTTTCTGAGAATAATGTGAAGTAAAAGAAAATCCCATGATTTTGTATCTATGTTTAGAGCATTAAGGGCTTGAGTATTTTCCTTTATAGTGTAAACAAACTTGGTTAAATTTTTTAAAGATAACTGTGCTAAAGTTGGTAAGTTAAGAATTGCTTCTACATGTTTATCAGCGATCACTCTCTTGTTTTCATAGCGTGCAATTAATAGATTATAAGCAACATTGTAGTTCTCATTAGATATTACTAAATGTTTCACTAAAGAAAGTGGTTCTTTATCTAAAACACTCAGCAAATAATGCAATTTTTGAATTGGGCTCAAGCTATCATTATTATGTATTAAACTATTGAATATAGAAATAAAATTTGGCCATTCAGTGTACACACCTGTATACCTACTTAGGGATATGTTCGGAAGATGTATGCCAGGTTCTGATTTAACTGATACTTGTTGAGTACTATTGCTACTTTTTGTTTCAAATGAACTATGTAAAACTTGAATAGAATAGTACATGTCCATGAAGGCTGAATACCTAACTTCTAATTCTTCGCGAGATTTGTCACTCATAGCCTCTGGACTAGACATAATAATGGTAAAAGCTTCTTCAAATTGTTGCCTAAAACGTTCAATGTCCTTATATCGAACTAGAAAACTAGATCGTTCTTGAGGAGTGATATTGGTGCTTTGACTAAGTTTACCTGCCAGTTCATACACAATTTTCATGTTTTTATAATTACGATCACAATTGGTGATATACGCTTTTATATTAGCCATTGTTTTTAGTGTTTATTTTCAGAAATAGTAATAATTTTATATGCAAAGGTAAATTGAAATATAAATGTAAACAAAATAAAATGACAAGTTGAAATTGATCGAATATTGACAGCTCTGATGACGTTTCTATGATATTCAGTGTCGCCAACAATTAAATACCAAAAGGAAGTGTCATTTGACCACAAGGCAATTTGAATGGAAATGACACGTACAATTAAATATAGAATGGGGGTTAATATGAACAAAAAAAAAAAAAAAAAAAAAAAAAAAAAAGATGACGCAATAAATTTATAGGATGATTTTTTGATTTTGATGATGAAATATGGATGATTTTTAGATTTAATAAAGGATGAGGATATCGGGTCGAAGGACCAAGGAAAGGATGTTGGATAAAAAGAAGGGTAAAGGACAAACCTGGTTCACGTAGTCCCCGCGTGTAGGTCTTTGTACGCGTTCTCGTTCTCTCTTCTAAATATCTAACACTTATGTTGATTTCGCTGAAATACCACTGTAAGTTGCGCGGAGATCGCGGCTGATTGACTAATTCGCAACTGGTGGAGCCTTTTTTTGTGATCTTGGCGGAACTCGATCAGCTCGACACGCAGTTGGATTATAGACTTAATTTATCCGTCTACCCCCCGATGTGATCCCAGATTTGATAGGAAATATGGATAGGTAAGGAGGGTAGAAGCATGTTGCGTTCGGAAATGTTTAAAGCATATACATATGATGAGATTATATTTACCAACCGTCTTCAAAAAGAGGGAAGTCGTCTTAAAAATTCTGTTAATTACCTCATAACCCCGTCAGTTATAAACTAATTTGAAAAATTCTTATTTTTACCTGAAAGGTCATACCTACATATTAATTCCATAGAAATTTTATCAAAATCGGACAGTAGTTTAGTTTTTAAATCAAAATAATTGGGTTTACTACAATTGAAGTCAGTTTTTTTGTGTTGTTAATGACATTGGTTCACTAGTTTGTATTTTGCTTGTAACTTTGAATAAGATAGGTTTGGTAGTATATACATATAAATAACAATATAAGATAATGTACGAGTATATATTTATGATAATATTAATACAATAACAATTTACAAAGTGTCATATCTAGGTAATTTGCTGTAGAAATTACGGTTTTGGCCTGACGGCTTTTGGATGAGTTTCTTCGAACACTTTTTCTTTGAGTAGATTTTTATATAATCTTGACAAGGTAGGATATTTGTCTAGACTCAACTCTAACCTGTAAACAAATAAAAGTATTATACACTAGAAACAATACAGGTGTATAAATAATAACAATTGTTTTATCATAACAAAACAATCTTTATATAATAATCCGGATTAGTTTTCATTATTGAGCAACCTCACAGTAATTGTTACAGTACCTACATTTTTATATATTAGCGTCTTAGACCAGAGTGTAATAGAACGGGTGGACAATTTATTATCCCAATATTTATGAATCTCATAGTTTAAGAGATACATCATAATAAAACAGATCATAACAAAACAATCTTTACATAATAATCCGGATTAGTTTTCATTATTTAGCAACCTTACAGTAATTGTTACAGTACCTACATTTTTATATATCAGAGTTTAAGACCAAAGTGTAATATAACGGGTGTATAATTTATAGTTCAAGAAATATCTACATTAAACAACTTTACTAAGATCGAATGAAAAGGAAACTTTATAGCATTCGTTCGTTTGGTGTTTCTGCTGCCAAGAATCTATGTTTACATGACTATGTTTTGGTTTGACGAATGGCTTATGATCGTAATATTATAAGATCTAAAGGCAAAACATCTGTATTCCAAATTATATAAAAACAGAATACAAAACGATAAAACACTTTTAAATTGCAATGAATCAATCATCATGTAATACTAAACTGAATACAAGTAAATATGTTAATATACAACAGGTGAAAATGTAAAAGAAAACGTTTACAGAGTTCTAAAATAAAATATTCTTTTTTTTATTTAAACTTATTTCTATGAACTTGCCTAGTTGTTGCATTAAATAACTGAGGAACAAGGCATAGGTCAGCCATAGTAATTTGGTCTCCAACACAATACAAGCCAGTAGTTTTCTGGAGAAGATTTTCTAGAGTCTGCAGCCCTCGGTCGCACCAGTATTTTGTAAACTGTTGGTATTGATATTCCGTTGTAAAATGGGACTTGAGTCCAATGTTCTGTAGTGGTTGGATACCAGACACTATTGTCTGAAAAATGAGAAAACAATTAAAACGAACAAAGAAATCACTTTTACATAGGGGGATGAATGTTCAGTCAAACATTTCAGCGATACTATCTTTTTATCTTCGTTGAGTTATGTGTGACTTTTATTGATAGACTTTCATATAATGTATTTTTGTTGTAAGACAAATTCGTAATACGTAGAAATGGTTTCTGTGATATGAAAGCCGTCACCTGAGACAGATTGATTAGTGTGAGTTGTACTTATAAGTTGACGGTTCACATAGTGGAAAGTGAATAGGATTGTGAACGTAGTAGACTGCACTTTGATGCCTATGGTATCTATCACGTTAGGAATTTAGTTGCGTCTCTAGCAGATAGTTTTGGAATATCAGATTTCTATATAAATTTATGGAAAAGTTATAACAATGAAACATGGGATATAATGATTTAATAATCTATACTTATAATTTTTTTTCTCTGACTGACTATCTACACATAACCAAAAGTACTAAGTCTACTCGTAAAAAGCTAAAATTAGGAACATTATCATCATCATATCAGCCATCAACTGTCCACTGCTAAACACAGGCCTCCCCCACAAGGGGTATTTTGCCAGTAGTTGCCATGCTTGGCAGGCGGGATGGCAACCGCAGTTAGGCTTTGGTGATCTTGAAAACATCAGTTTTAAGAGGAATGCTACTGCTCATTCTTCGACCATTAAGTTCTCTTAGTCGCTCTTACGATACTCACGGGAAAGAAAGGGATGATCCATTCTATGCCGGAGCCACAAGGCAATTAGGAAAAAATTAGAAACATACATTTACATTACTTTATAACATAAGCATCTGCTAATAAAGAACCTTTGGCAACAGCTAGTTTATGATATTATCATGAATCAGGTTGCCATTTTAAGTATTATGAAACTGACATTTCAACGAATATTAGAGATACAAATTGTGTATAAACAGTCTCCCACGTTGGGCGCCATCATGTTACTTGTATGTTCAAGAATAGTTAAAGAAACTAATAAAAGTTAAAAGGCAGGAGAAAGGTAAGTAGATTGGATACGGTTTCTAATAATTAATGAAACACCGCTACAATTTAATATGAGACTGTGTAGGTGTCTTGATAATATGGTGATTATATTAATAATATAATTAAAATTTCAATTAAAAATATTTGAAGTGAACTTTGAGCCATTTTTCTATATATTTTTAACACGTTTTTTACGTAGTTCGAACAACTATTACCTTATTTGAGGTATAATATATCATTAATAATTTACTTTAACTAAAACAAAATTTATTACAATTGGATTATAAAATTATAAATATTTGAATACAAAACAAACTCTTTATAAGTAAAAACTAATGGAAAATACTTGAGATTTAATAAATACTTACTCGTACAAGTATTTATAATAGAGATGTATTTAAATGTTTTATTTTAATTTGTTTGACAAAAGGATTAAGTCGAAATATGGCAACACAAATTTGATTTAAATTTTGTTAGTATTACGAAATCCTATATTAAATTGCAAATTTGTTGAATTAAATCTCTTCACATCGACCAATTTCGATAAACTCGTAGATCATTGCCTGCTGCGGAAATTGATTGTCAAAATCCAGCGCCTTCTGTTATATTGGAGTATCCTCCACTCTCAACGCGGGTTGTGAGTGTTTAATCATGCGATCCAATTACGAACCCCTAGTATCCACTTTCCTGCACGTAGGTATCTACAGAATCTATTTCATATACAGTGTTAAGTGGGAAAGCCAATGTATTTAATAAATACTACTAATAACCACACCTTCGTTTATATTGAGTTGAGTATTTTTATAGTCCTAATATTGAACGTAGTTGATATAAATCATTAAAAAAACATACCAGTGTTTTAGACGGTGACAAAATTAATATATATGACCATTAAGCCGTGTGGTCCCAGTATAGAATGGGCCACCCATTCCTTTCCCGTGGGTGCCATAAGAGACGACTAAGGGAACTTAATGGTTGAGGGATGGACAGTAAGTAGTCTCCCTCTTAAAACATCAATAAATCCTTAGTGTAATTGCCAATCCGCCTGCCAAGCGTGGCAACTACTGGCAAAACCCTCATTAATAGGAAAGGCCTATGTTCAGCAGTGAATAGTTATAATAATAAATATTTGTTATTATAACTATTCGCGTTATGCGATACGATAAATGCGATGGAAATTCCTTAGAATCGACTCAACCTGCACAACTTGTACTCTTGATTGTTTTGGCTTCTACATAGTCTATCCCGAATATTACAGAACAGAAAAAACTATTTTGTCTGCTCTGAGCTTGACATAACTTTTATAACGTTTTTATAAATATTCAATGTAGATAAATCGGTTCTTTATATTCAGTAGCTATGTTTATATTTCAAGTGAGTACGGTAAAAACTATCCTATTTATTATATAATATATAATCCTATTTAATCTAGATACTTTATTTACTTGTGTACCAAAATATTATTCAGATCCGTTTAGCCGTTGATATGTGATGGAGTAAGAAATATCCAAACATCTTTACAAACTTTGACATTTATATTATTAGTGGGATAGGATTGAATAGTAGGCAACTACCTGAACATTTTGGACAACTCACAAATTGTATTTTTTCTTGTTAAATTGGATTTTCTCCAAGCATTTCCTGGAATGTAAAGGGTGTGATGGGCGGACATAGGTATATATATGAGTTAAATTAATATGCCAGATGGTACAGTTAGAGATATATTGTCGATCGTAGTGTTGGTAACTCTGGATTATAATATCTATCAAGAAATCATTTAAATCCACTGCTGGACATAAGTCTCCCCCATAGACTGCCATAAAGAACGGTTTTAAACCATCTGCATCCACTGCAATGCATTTCAGGCCGTCATTCAATTTAGTGGGGGTTGTCTTACACTGTATTTGCCCGTACGGGATCGCCACTCAAGAACCTTTCTTCCCCATCGGTTATCGGTTCTTCGAGTTATGTGACCAGTCCATTGCCACTTCAGCTTGCTTATCCTTTGGGTTATGTTTTTTATGTTGGTTTTTTGCGGTTCTTATGTGTATAAATGAGTTTAATTATATTGTAAGATACAGTTAGAAGCACATTATCTACGTCGAAGATTAAAAAATCGATAAGAATCTTACCTCACATATTTCTCTCATACGCGCTTTCTGCAATGGATCATTGGGTGTCAAGCGAGGTTCGGGACGTGTATCTTCCAGATATTGAAGTATTGCCATCGATTCCACTAAAGTTTGTCCATCTGTACAATATATAATATTAATTGGCGAAGTACTTGATATGTTACATTTTATATGTCTTCGAAAAGGAAGAATTTTTTTTGAGTGGGTAATGATAATTTTTTCAATTCTGAACTGATCATCAATATCCATAAATGTGACTTATTCTTGTTTCAGTGCCATATTGGTATGATAAGTCTGATTTTTTTTTAATTATTTATAATAAAATACTATCCAAATAACTGTTACTAGGTTTAAAGGAGATTATAATAATTCAAATTTTAAACGAATTTAATAAGTAATAAGTACCTGGGCTCGCGTCGAGTGCACTCAGACCCTTGAATTTATTGTGCTCACAAGATCTTAACTTATCACGATTTTTAGAAATTATGATTTAAATTTAATATCACGAATCAGTGTACTGTTATATTCATAAGGTTTTACATAGCATTGAAAATTGTCAATTTATTGAAAAAAAGATGGATAAATACTAATCAATTATAAAATTAGTAACAGATAGGTACTTATTATTTTTAAAACAAGTAATTTACGGAGGTATAACATCTTCATTTTCACGAATGGCAGTGCTTGGGATATTCTATGAGCGACAGTATTAATTTTTTTATCAAGTGAGCCATCAGCTTGTTTAAATCATCAAGTTACATAAAAAAAATCCCTGACTAAAACTGGATCTGTGTACTATACTCGTGTTAGGTTTATAATTTATGTACTAATGCTTACTATTATATACTCAATATATGCTTTAGTCCTTTACGGTTAAAAATCCTTTCTTTGTCTACATAATGCATTAAAATATAGTTAGTTACTTATGTATTAAAAGATAGGTATGGTTTTGGAAATTTCATAACGGAGCACTAAAATTAATTTAAAAATAAATTTCAATATATTACGTGACTAAAAAATAATAAGAAAAGCAATTTTATGCAAAAGCGGTAGAATGAATTGTCCCGTTTTAGCATTTTCTTTTATATTATTTGATTTATATAAATAACAGTGTCTATTTTTTTTATTATATTGCTTAGGTCAGCTATAGCTATTAATAGCGCCATAGACATGACAGAGTATACTAGTAAGCTTGTGGTACTTCTCATGCGATGCCATTTCTGAGTACTATGGTGCTGTACTTCCTTTTATTGTAATTATACTGCTATATCCCATCCTTTAAGTAGAAACATAATCATCCAAACCCAGCTGCTTCACGACAGAAAAACAAGTGGGCCGCACATTATAAAGTAGCTTATACTCGCAACTTCGTCTGCATGAGCGGGATATGTTTACTGACCAGGGTAAAAAGTCTATAATATTCATATTAACATATCAAATTTCATGGTTAAGTTGTTAAGACGCTAAAAGGTAACAATATTAGTAAGAATACGTTATACTACGTTCATGAGCGAGATAAAGGTACATTATCACATTTATATATTTTTAATATATGCAAATGTGATAGTTTTTAATAAAATTATCACATTATAATTTATATAAAATTATTATTAAAAGTTGTATATGAGTGTTTGTGTAGTTACGGTTGTATGAAAATAGGATTCATAGGAAATTTTTCAATAATAGAAAACGTCTTTTTTCTTTGATTATTTTATAAAAATATTTACTATCATTTGTCAAATATGTTACATATAAATTGTCACCCAAATTCCGGCTACAGTTTTGTGTCAAAACTGTCATAATAAGAGGGAGTGAAGGAAAATTTATATGATAAATTATCAGTATGAGGTTCTAATATTACCATAAGTTTGTTTTAAACTAATAATTACTCTAATTTGTCATAGACACATTCACAGAGTTATCATCACGCAAGTATCCATAAACTATTCTCATTTTCTTCTTAGTTTGAAATTAAATTTACCCTTCATATGAGCGTAATGATGAATGCGCAGTAAAAGCTGCTTGTGGAAGCAACTGCTCTGTTTCAGTTAATATTGCTGATTGGTTTTGTTAATACAGATTTGACTTTATGTTGGTTGTTTCTGTACTAATTTATATTAAAAAGTCTTCATTTGCACTATAATATATTTATAAAAAAGTAATTGTCGAGTTTTTTGCTATTATTTATTTATATTCAGATGAATCTACATATTTTATGCAAATACTATGAAGTTGGTATATCATAATAGTCTGTGATAGGTTTACACGAATAATTCTAAGAAAATTGGAATAAATATATTTTAATTGATTGATTGCTATAATAATTTAATTTTTTATTTTTCTTCCAAATCGTCTGCAGTGTCGATGATTGTAAATTTGTATAATTTTGCAACAGAGTAGGTACACTAGTTTTCGTTTTTAGTTTTTATAATAAATTTGCTAACAATAAATTCTCTTTCTTTCATTTCTTAACAGCCTCTAAAAGACCTTGGAGTGAATGGCAAATGGCAAATTTCATTTATATTTTTTATAATTGTACATAAGTAATTGACATTGTTTGATATTGTTTGAGATAATTATCTCAACGGGAAACGACTGACAATCACTGATAGTGATTTCATAAGAGTTACGATAATGCCAGATATTTCACAATGTTATGGTTGGTATACAATAGATGTGTGTTGGTGTAAGAAGTTAAGATAGCGATGATATCTGTGACGTTGTTAATACAAATAAACAAAAATATACATCATACGCATATATATATATACTGTTTTTACCCAATGATTAGCTGGTAGAGAATGCCATATGGCATTAAGCTCGCCATTTGTACAAAATTTTATTGTGCAATAAAGAATAAATAAATAAATAAATATATATATATTTGAAAAAACAACACAAACAAACTCTCTTTGCGACGGAAAACTCTAAATTTACACCTAGACGATAGGTATTGAGATATTGATTTATTAAAATAATAAAAATGACTTCTTAATAATAATAATTACTATTAGCGAAATAATTGATTTTTATCATTACTTTTTCGTTTTAACAAAACTACTAAGAAAGTGAAAGGCCAATTGTTGGAAAGTTTTTTGACATTACAGAAATATTATGGCATAGTTACTGTCTATCTATCAATAAGCCAAATTTTATTTATTTTACTTAATTTTTTTTTAATTAATATCTAACTCTTGTAACTCGAGACTAATGTATTGAGTTATTTATTAGTTAGTAGCCTTGAAGATTAATTTATTCTTGTGGTAACAACAAACGCATTGCTGTTTCATTACGTTATCTACCATAAGTACTAGTAATTCATAGACAATTCCACCATCAATGTTTATGTCTCAAATATTTCACGAGTTATATGTTAACTATAAATATAAAATAATAAAATTTTATGATAATAACAAAAAAAAATTATTTGTTTATCCTATCTACTTCCCACTAATGTTATAAATATGCAAGTTTGAATGTTTATTAATCAAACATGTGTAAATGGAACGGATTTACAGAATTCAGATAGATCATAACTTTAGATTAAAACGTGGTATTTTATATACTGCGGACAAGGTCACGAGATACGGTTAGTTTTATATATTATAAATGGGCAATACAATTTTCTTTTAATTTGGAAATAACGAACATAATAACTTATTACTCAAGTACTCATAGCACCTACATCAGCTAGCCTTAGAACTCTCAGGTCCTAATCAAGAAATGAGATGTTTAGTATTTTAATACAGCCAACCTTGTAATGGATTCCATCAGAAAATTTGTTTAAGCTTTAGTTTATTGTACACAGGTGTTTTTATATGGCAACTATGCGTCCCCCATTAAATACTTTGATCATTGTACCGAGTAAACACGTAGACGCGCCGCCATTATCGTTAGGAAGAGGTTATTCTACTGTTATCGTGTCATTCCCTATAAAGTAATCAACCTTATATAATACATTTCAAATTAATCAATCGAACGTTAACTACACTATATATATATAGATATATAATATGTACCATGTAATAATAATATTACTAATAGTACTAAGCAAATTACACAACGCCATGTAGTTCAAAATTAAGCAGAGCATTTTTTATGGGCACTACACAACTTATATTTCATGTACTCATATTTTTTTAAATACATACATACTATACATAGAATTCACCCAGACCAATACAAATAGACATACTCATGAATACAAATGTTTGTATTGTGCGGGAACGAACCCACGAGTATCGGTCGAATTTGTAATATTATTAATTTTTTTATACATATATGTAATCATGGAATATGTTAGAGTATATTATAGGCTTTTACCTGTAACTGAATTTTTGTATTAAGAAGCCTGTCTCTTTAATAATGTTTTTGTTTTATTGTTAAAAGTTTCACACATTATATATTAATATTATTATATTACTACCAGTTTAACTGACATGAAATTAGATCGAGAAAGTTTGACTAGTTTTTATTTTCATTAATTTAATCCTAAACGAAACTAAATATTTATAATAAATGTGTATTATTATAAATGTGAAAGTGAGTTTTTTCTTTATTAACTTATAGCGCTTAACGGTTTAACCAATCACTATGAAATTTGTTATAAACGTATTATTTGGGATGGAGAAGGCATAAATGCATCCCGGTCACGCGGACGAAGTCATGGGTAAAAGTTAGTAATTTACAATTAATACTCTCGTAATACCGATTGAATTTGGAAATAATATTATCTGCTGTTTTTAATTAAGAACTTAACGGCAATCAAATCTACAGCCCACTTGATGGAAAGTTTACCACTTTCCAACCTGCAGATACTCTAGATGCCATAGGATATACCGTGCTGTCCGTGGCATAATAGGATCGACCCTTACATTCGTGTCTTTTCTATACAATGTTATATTCGTCTAATCATGAATTGTTAACAAGCGTTCACAAGATTCAATGACCCAAATAGTTACCAATTTATATGAACTTTTTCAATGTTGTCTTTATTATATGGCGACACATCTAATAAATAGCCATTTGTGATGTTGTTGACCTAACTGTTTAATAGAACGTTGGTCTAAACTTAAACTACGCTTGATTGGCGAGCCAGACGCATTGAGTTTTATGTGGT